GTAGCCTATGGATCATGACCGTGAGATTTATCCCAAGCATGTCAAATGAGGCACATGCAAAAAGGTTGACATTATTTCTTAAAAACTAGATTCTCTACTATTTATGGTCAAGTGTAACCTTGATTTGCATACATTTTTCAGCATCATTTTCATAGAATGGCATGAGCATGAAGTCTCTTACCCATTCTAATTGACTAATATTGATATCGGGCCTTTGATGTATGATTTTCTTTGATTTAGTTAAGCTAAAACCATGTTTTGAGCTGTTTTTTTTTTTTTCGTTACACCAATTTATTTGACCTTAACCTCCACTTTTCCACTATTTTGAGACTCCTTGATGTTAGCCAACTATTAGTCCACTTTTTTATTTTATCTTTCATCACAGTCATATAACATTATCGCACCATAAACTGGTTTTCTTTGACCTTTTTAATCTTGTTAGGTGTCAAAAACTTAATCTTTAAATGAGGAGCTAAGCCACTGATTCTTATAATAGATTGGCTAGGTCAAACCAATATCATATTATAGGTAGAGAGGATATTCTCTAACATAAATTCAATGACTGAGGTTACACTCTTTAATTTCATGCCCAATGAGATCAATAACCTGATAGTTCCTTTGATTAGCACTTGTTTGTTCTTGAATCTAATTAGAGTGGTAGTTAATGGCTTCAATACTTTATTGGTTATGCTTATTCTTAGAATTATGGCATATTATAGGACATCGATCGAACTCTAGCTATTAAATAAGATCTTTTTTATAACATGATTGTAAACCACAGTTTAAATTACAATAGTATCATCATATGGGAATTGAATCTCTTCCAAATCTTTTAAAGTGAAAAAGAATAGCTTGTCCCTCTAGCTTTTCTAATTTTATGGCCATCACTATCCCTAAATCAAATTTCTTCATAGTTGATGTAAAAATCTTTTTAGTGATTACATTTATTATACCTACTATGATCTTGTTGTCCACATTGTTCCTCTCATCTTTTTTTTTCTTAATCCTCTAGTTACTACCACCTTAATTTTTTTTCTTCATTTGTTTTCCTGGTTCCTTACTTCATTTTCCTCTCGATTTTTTTTATATCTCTTCTCCCTTGCCCCTGTCTTCTTCAGTCTACAAACCTGTCCAACTAACCTCTTTTGATCAAATTCTCAATCTCATTGTTTAGGTTGATATGATCTTCAGTGTTGTGGTCATAATCTTTGAGAAAAGTATATCTTCTTGTTAGATTTTTTTTTTATACTTTGTCTCAATGGCTTTGGCCATCTGAACTCGAAATGCCTTTTAATATGCATCAAAATCCTTTCTTAAAATGTATTTAGTGCATTGTAGTTACTATGTCGTCGACTCAGGCTCTTGGCCTAAAGGTACCCCATTATCTTTTTCCCTTGTAGAGGATTGACTATTTGAAAGTTATGATTGATCTTGGTTCTAAACTACAATACCATGATTTAGTTGCCTCTTTTACTGTCTTGGCCAGTCCTTTACACATCAAAACTTTATTGGCTCCCTGCATGATCATATTAGTCTGATAAAACTTTAAATGATCAAAAAGGTCAGATGTATTGTCTTATGTTTCCAAGATCGACATCTTGAATCCTTTTAATGGCATTTCTCAATCAATCTCCTTAATAAAGGGAGAGGTCTCTAGACACTTTAGCTCATTGTCAAAGGTAAATGCTTTATTCTTTAATTCCTTCTCCATAGCCTCTATTTGAGTTTTTAGATTTTTCTTCAATTGGGGTTTTGAGGTGGTTTGCTTGGATTTTTGGGTAGCGACTTGTGTTGAGATGTGTGTGGGGTAATGGGTCATTGGTCATCTAATGCCAACGAGACTACGATATCGTTATAGCTTGGCAGTTTTTTTACATGTGGGTTTTTTGGAATGGTCAAATTAGGTGCTTTTGAGGTATAAGGTAGGTTAAGGTTTTGGATCATTTCTTTTAAGGATTAAAGTTTTTGGATTAAGGCTTGAAATTTTCCATGGTAGGCTTGTTGTTGTAGGTCTATTTGGATTAAGTTAGCTAAGCTGTGTATCTTTTCCAATAGTAGTTATTTCTCGTTCCTTAACGACTCCTTCTTTTAGGTGGCTTTTTTAGCTCGATTATATGAATAGGTCCCCTACTTTGGTACTCCAAATGTTTGTGCCAAATTGTCTCTGAGTGGTAAAATCTTGAAATTACAAAAATAAGAGAGAAAAATAACGATTAACAACAAAGGTTTGGAGTCGTCTCAGCATTTTTGTTTCAATGCTTCAGTTAGTGGTTGATTTGGGAAAAAAAATAGAAATGAGATAAAAAGAAAGTGATAAAAGCAAAATGATTAAAAGTTGCATGAATTGTACTATTTATACCTATGAAACGAAGGATTTCAGCTAGCTTAGGTTGCTCGAGGTCAACCTTTAGAGTTAGAGATGACCGGGTAGGTCTGAGCTGAGCTGACAGTTGATTGTCCATTTAAGGTGTGACAAATCAGCACATAGGGGATCTATCTGCAGATTGTTAAAGAACAATTGACTTAAGAACAGGCTTAGAATATAATCTTGAACTTGTCAGAATGAAAATTCTCTACACCAAAAGTGAGATACAAAACCTTGTACTAGACAAGACACTCTCTCATCGACTAACAAAAGACCTAGGAAAGACTTTTAAAAGGTACCAACATTTTTATTTCATTTACTTAATTTAAGGTGAGACAAGTTAGCACGTGAGGGATCTAGCCTGCAGATTGTTAAAGAACATGAACCCACAAAATTAGATTGACCCGATATGTTAGCTTAATCAAAATGATCAAAATACCTTTTGTTGTAAGTAGGCTTACAGTAATGAGAAAAAACTCCATAATATCCTTTAAACTAAAAATACCCCCTACCTAACACATAACTATGTAAATTGCATATGGGATCTTTTTAGCATTTATTTAAAAAATTTTAATTTTAATTTTAAATTTATTAGTATACTTAAGATAATTGATCAAATTTAGAACTCATTTTTAAATTGGATGCAATTTTATCATTAAAATTTTTACTTTATTAAAAAATATCACAAAAATTAATAGTAAAAAATATTCTTTGAAAATATAAAATAATATTTTGTAGTTTTCAAATTTTTAAGCCAAATAAAAAGATTTAGAAAAACATGTAAGATGAGAGTTTGAACCTTACTATCCCTATCTTCATCCCTTATCCAGTGGATAAAAGACTAATATTTTATAAATATTTTATATTTTATTAATTTTGAATTAAATTTGAAAGTAAAATAATAAAATTACACTCATTCAAAAGTGGGTCATAAATTTAATTGATTAACTTTAAGTAAAATGATCATTTAAATTTCATCCAAAAAAATATCAAGAAATCTTCTATCAACAATCGTCAAGTAAGCAATTAATGTTACCTTCCGGAACTAGTGGAGAAAAAAGAAATTCCATAACTTTTTTACGATGATGGAGGACCATATGAACCGTATACTGTGTATAACGGCAAAATATTCTAAACAAATGTACCAAAAGACATTTTGAGCAAGTTTTTGTAACATATATATGTTGAGATTGCATGAATAAGTAAAAAAAAATTGAAAATGAAAATATGGGATGTGTTTGGATTATGAAAATAAAGTTGTTTTTCATTTTCATTTTCATAGAAAATAAAAAATATATTAAAAAATTTGTTTGGTTGAAAAAATAGAAAATATTTTTTTAAAAAAAAATGAAAATAAAAATAAATCAAAAATAAAAAAATTGTTTTGATCATTTTCAATGAAAATGGAATGGAGAAAATGAAAAAGTTGAAAACACGGGCTTTTAAAATTTCTTTTTATTTCAAGACAAATTTCTAGGGAGCAGATTCGAATATTGAGATCTCCAAAATAAAATCTCTGCAATCGTAAAGCCAAAGTATGCTTCCAAAAGTAGCATGAAAGCATCCAAATTTCTCCTGTTCAAATCGTGAGCTCTTTGTGCCTCACCATCACCACTTATATGGCTTGAAGTCCTCACTGGCTTCGAAATTCCCACCATAAAAGCATCCCAAAAAAAAAGCTTTTTTTTTTTATCCATTTTTATTTTTCATATAAAAATTAAAATTGAGTTTGTCTAAAAAATTATAGATATTTTATCATTATATTATGAAATTTATAATTATTAAATAATTAAAAAAATATTTTTATTTGAATTTTTATATTTATTTTAATTGTAATTTGTTTTTATTATTTAATTATATTTTTTAAAAAATATAATTTATTTAATTATTATTTTTATATTGTTTATTTAAAAAATACACGTATCAAACACATATTCATAATTTTCATTTCTAAAAATAAATTTTTATGTTATACGTCAAATATAATTTTTTAAAATTTAAAAAATAAAAAATAAAAATTCAAAATAAATGATATTCTCACAAACCAACCGTAATTATCATAAACAATTTCATTCTATTGAAAGCTTTTGTCTTCTGGAATGCATGATTATTGTGATTTACACACCTATGACGCAGACCGTAGTTCTAGAAGATTACGATCGAATCAACCAATTTAAAAATTAAAATGATCACCAACAATAAAAATATTCTAAATAAGAAAAAAAGCAACCAACAATAAAAAACATTCAAGATAAAAAAATATATACAAAGAGAATATCAACAATAAGAGAACACAACAAAACAGGCATTCATTATAAAAAATTTCGAGATTACAATAATTAAACTCCACATAAATTTCACTTGCAACAAATCTTTTATCTCTAATTTAAAGGCTTTTTATCTATGATCGCATTCCAGCTCCTCTTACCATTAGGGCATTTTACGTTCATTTCTTTATATTAAAATCTTACCATTATTCAATCATATTATAAAATTATGTAAAATTCATCACCTGTATAAACTTCAAAAAAAAAAAAAACTATAATAGGGAATTAGCCTCAGGCCTGGCTAAGAAAATGGAAGAACCAGTTTAAGATAAAGAGACTTTTTCCCTTGAAAATTAAGGCGGCCAAAACCCCAAAAGCAAGCATATCGATTCATCTGTGGGAATCCAAGAAACCAACAACAGTTCGCAATTTACTAGGAAAAAGAATACATCTTGAAGGTAGTGTATGATGTATAATATAGACAAATCCGATAACTATATGTAAAATAATAATTGATTATAATAAACAACTTCAAAAATCAAGATTAATGCTAAAAACTTGTCTTTTACTAGAAGCAGAGCAAAACAAAATTCCAATGCATCCTTTCAAACGTAAATATAATGATCTTAGAAGTGAATGCTCGGTGTTTTTATTTATTTTTTCCTCTATTAATCAATTGTAGGCTTGGTCTTCGAGCGATAGAAGAGCTTCTTCTTCTTGGAGGTTGGATTGTCTATGGTGAGAACAACCTTACCTGGCTCACCAATCTTGAAATTGTTGCACACCACCGGTTCTTCTGAAGAGGAAACCTTCCTAGCCTTGTGGATTATTATTGTGTAGCTGTCTTCGGCACTGGGTACGAATTCTGCACCATAGCTCACATCCCATCCAACAACTCTGACCTCCCATGTCAGAAAGCATGCCTGCATCGCAAATAGTAGGGATGATTTAAGCTTCAAGCAATTAAAATACTAAAATAAATTTGCAGTTATTGTGCACTATAATAAGTAGAACATAGCCTAAGATTTAATAGAAATCAAATACTAGTAATAACAGACAAATGTTTCTCTTTTCTTTTCTTAATTGATTTTCGCAATTCTGTTCTAACTATGAAAAATTATTTAATATACTACGTTGAAGGCCGTCACTAAAAATCTTTTAGGACTATTACGGCTACTTAGATTTTTGAATTCACGGCTGGATGAACTTATGTTAGTGCAAATTTTGTTTTTCTTTCTTATTTTTTAATTAAAATATTATTTTAATCTAAATTAATCATAAATTAATTTTAATTTAAAAATATAAAATACAAAACTTATTCCCATAAGTGATCCCTATCCTTTGAACTTACACAGTTATTAGTTGTATTTTGGCATCGTACTATAGATTAAAGCTCCTAATACTTTAACTCTGACAAGTGTTTTTAATTCTCTCATCAATTTCTAAACATAGTCCACTTCAATTGTTGGTGACTTTTTGTTTTTATGGGGGGGCCATTGTCCTGTTGTTGAACAAAAGCCAGAAGGAAGCGGTACCAGCAAAGACCAAGCAAAAGCAGTGTCCAGAGCATCCAAAGATGGAGGCAGTATTAAAAGTTACTACTACTATCCGAATCCCCAAAGGCTGGGGCCAAAATTTTCTGCTTTGGATTCTTGAAAAAGCGGATGATGCCCTTGACCAGAGAGAGAGAGCAAAAAGAAAAGCCACTTACCCCAGTAACTGGTAACTCTACTGTTTTCTTCGCCGCCGGCTTAACAGTTATCTCAGTAACGGGATCGGTGCTGGTGAATTCACCGTCTTTGCTCAGTCCTCCATATTTTACCGGTACTTGCTCAACAGCGATGTACCTAATTACATGTACAAAACAAAATAATTTCATACAAACAAAGGTCGAGAGAGAAAAAAAAAAAAGCAAATTTTACTTTAGACACTGACCTGAAAAGGGTCACTGCAGATTTTGAAGGGCCAGCAAAGACAAACTTGCTTTTAGTTCTTTGGGTCAAAAATGGACTTATCATCTTATTGACTGCAAGGTACCACCATGGTACGTTGATGAACACCTAAACAACCAGCCAGAACCCCAATTCGGAAGAAAGGTAAGATCCAAGAATGCAATCTAAACAATTACTATTGACAAAAAGGAAAATAAATTTGATAATAATATGATATGAAAGGAAGAACAAACAACACTAATAGCAATAACAGTAATACCTGTCTGGCAACAAATTCTGGATAGTTGTCCTGGAGCAATTGAAGAGCCTGTTTGGTAGCTTGTCTAAGCTCCCATTTTGCAGGTCCAGGGGAATTCTTCAAGTCATTGACCTGAAAAATAGTACATATGCCACCGGGGCTGAAATCCAGTTTTCTAATACTCTTTTCCAGGAATTGGATTCTCCACCTCAAAAAATTTTGCCTCTTTTCTTCATCCGAAAATGTTTTCAGGTAAAGCTCCTTGTTCTGGAATTCCCCATACACATTATAGCACACTGGATGTCCTTCCTTATCAAAACCATGCATAAATACCACCTTCTCCAAATCATCACCCAAATCTTGTTCCACCAATTCATCAATGCCGAACTCCTTTCTCCAACGAATCGTGTTTCTAAGCATTATAAATGCATCTTTCACCTTGAAATCTCTGGCTCTTAGAAATTTGAGGAGAATAACATCGCTTCTTTCATCTGCTAGAAGTGGTATGCCCCATATGGATATCTCCTCTGGGGGTACTTTGTCCTCTGTTTTAGCATCTTTTCCTTCGTCTTCCGATACCACATCAGCCTTTGCATCTGCAGGCTTTTTAGCTGCTGGTAATTGCTCTGGTTGAACTGAAGAAGAGACTGAAACAATAGTCTCTTCAATGGCTTCTACGGTCTTGGCACCATCGTCTTCCACAGTGTCGGAGCCAGCAGTAGCAGCAGCCTTTTTTTCAATAAGCTTCGTTTCAACCAGATTAATGTTTTCTTCCTTCGCAGGTTCATCCTTTGTTTCGGCTACAGTTTCTGTTTCTTCTTCTGTTTCTAGTTTCGGTTCATCAGTAACCACGTCATCCTTTGGCTCTATTTCGGCTGGTTCATTCTCGTCCTCGGTCACCACGACCTCTTTTTTCTCGTCCTGTTTATCTGCTTCTGGTTGTTGTGGCTTTGCTATCTCGCCAAACTCATGTTTGTTAAGCGCTTCTTGAACAAGTTGCTTAAGTTCTCCGAGAGCTTTTTTTTCATTCTCAAAAAGATCAGCAATCCTGCTGCTCTCTTCCTTGAAAGAACCCGACTGAGGAACATTTTCCTGATCATCACCATTTGGTTTTGATATCTCAGTCTCTAAAGCCTCCTCAATCTGGTTTGGTTTTACTGGTTCTTCATCGCTTTCAGGTACCAGAGGTGGCTTTTTCGCTACTGCTGCAGCCGCTGGAGGTTTCTCAGCTTCTGGCATGTCAGGAACAACAACCACCTCGTCTGCTTGCGGCACTCCATCCTGGGCTGTCTTCTCAACTTCGTCAGCCATAGCTAATGTTGATTCTTGATTTCAACTGGAATGTAAAATAAAAAGAAAAAGTTAAGATGCTGAAATGGAAACGATCGAGAGAGGGAGAGAGTAAATTTGTTGTTTGAGAGTGGAGAGATGGCAGTTTTTAAAGAGATGGGAGAGATGTAGAAGAGCTTGATGGGGGTTATGCAGAGGAGTGGGGTTGGATTAAGGAGAAAAACAAGCTGTCAAGTTCATATGTTCTCAATTTTGGGACCCACTACTCTCCATTTTACAATCTGTAAAGCTTATCAGTGCTCATTAGCTGCATAATCGTATGCCATTTCCATATCCCAACGGGCGTTACATAGAAATTATCGGCGCAGGTGGCGGCATTTTCATTTGAGAAAATATGTGCTTTGTTGGGTGTTTGATGATGATTAACATTGATGCTTGGGCCAAACAACCCAACTGCAACTGCAAATTCGCAAAAAGTGCAGAAATTCAACCGTTGATGTGTTGGACAACGGACACCTAGGATGCTCTTCATCTCTATGTCCTATGCTGCATCTCCATCATTTACAACAGGTGGGACCTACTAAGATGCACAATCATTTCCGTCCGTTAGAGAACTCAGTTATTCTAATCTCAATTGCTCCATCGTACATATTCTTCGAATAATTACGCTACAAAGGTTGAGCAAGGAGATACGGTCTATAATGAATTTACAGCAATCTCTCCAAAAATTAGATCTTTCTAAAAAATGGTAAATACTGAAATTAAGATCAAATATTTGAATAGTTATTTAATTTAAGAAATATGCATCTTACATGTCATTAAATTACTCATGTGTAAAAATTATGACAAATAAAATATAACGTAAAATTAATTTATCCATGTATAACAATAACTTCAACTTATTATGATTGATTTTTAAGTTTATTCTGTTTTTTTTTTTTTGCTTTCTTCTTTGTTGTTTCTATATGTAAGACAGCTTTAGTTTAAAGTTTTCTCCTCATTTCTTTTCATTTTCATTATAAATTGAGAAAAATTTTCTATTGAAATAATATCTGAACACAATATCTTCTTCAAATATCAGTTCATCTAAAAGTGTAAATTCAATGTTGGTATAAATTTTGGGTTTTTCTCATGCTCTGATTTTCTCTTAATTTATTTTTCAAAATATTAAAATTGTAGGGTTTCTAGAGGAGAGTCTTATGATACAAAATATGTATAAATTAATTTCAGCTATTCACCTTGTAGAATGAGACTTTACAGAAGAACTCATTTTCTTTTACTACAATATAAAAGTAGTTAGATAGACGAATAGACGAATAGCAATCTTGGTAGAAAATTTTATGGATGCCCACAATGGATGCCCACAATATTCGATAAATTTATTGGTATTTCTTTGATATTTTTGCTAGTATTTTTTTAGTGTTTTTGCTAGTATTTGTTTTATGATATTTTCTTGGTGTGATTGTAAGCTGATAAATTTAGTGGTATTTCTTGGGTGTTTTTGCTTAAATTTATTTATTGATATTTCTTTGGTGTGATTACAGAGCACTATTTGTGAATTTCATTTATGGCATGATCCTAAATTTTTAAAAGAGCAAAAAAGATTATTTTGGAGCTAAAAAAAAAAGAAAATTTTTTATATAGTCATGTTCAAAATTTGAAATATGAAGTTTCAAAATGAAAGGAAAATGTTCATAAAGTTGATGTTATCACAGAGAATATGCAATTAAGGAAAGAAATTAGTTTTTTGAGGTTGAAATTAAAAGAAAACAATAAAATTGTTAGTGATGAACATGATAGAGATGGCAACTAAAAAATAATTTAGCTTATTTCATTCTTTTGTATACTTGTATTTTGTGTAATCTTTTTCAATCCTAAAAAACTTTTGAAAACTTAACTTATATGCTTGATAATTGTTATAAAGGGTCTGTAAATATTTGTTAAAACTCTTTTTATATCAATGGGCATTTCGCCCTATGAATTATGTTACTTTATGTTATTAGCTAGGAAAATATGGTTTAGAGGGTGTTTGATTTTTTATCAGAAACGCCTTCAATAACCCCATTAAAAATTTTTTTTCAAGATTATTCAATATATTTTTGACAAAAAATGCCTTGAATAATCACGTCATAAAAATTTATGAGGAGATTATTAAAAGCATTTTTAGCTAGAAATACCTTCAATAACCCCATTAAAATTTTTTTTTTTTGAGATTATTCAAAAGCTTTCATGAAGCTATTAGTAGTATCAACTTCTTAATATTATTTAATAAATTATCATTTATTATTAAACTAACAATATAATACTATTTATTATTGAATAATATGTTTAATAATATACAAAATAAAATTATTTAAAATAAAAATATCGCAAGACTTTCAATATGAATATTTTAATTTTTTTATTAAAAGTAAATAAAAATGCTTATTAGTATAATAATATTTCATTGTGGATCAAATGAAGCTTAAACTTAAAAGTTTTACTTGAATAGAAGTGTAAAATATTTTTAAAATTAAAATATTAAAAGATTTTTAATATTAATTTTTTAATTTTTTAAATAAAATTAAATAAAAATATTTTTTATTAATATAAAAATATTTCAAAAAATATTTCGAATTGAATCAAATTTAGTTTGAACTTAAAAAATTATGTTCAAGAACTTAAGTTCATACTGAATTTGATGAACTTAATACCATCATAAGCTAAATATTTGGATAACTTTAGATTCGTTACAACCCAACTAAAAAATTCTAAAATTTTTTTTGATTATTCATCATAACCGGATCTACAAAAATATCTACGTCAAATTTTAATGTTCCTTTTAGCTGCTAATAAGTTGTACAGAGCAGCATCATTGCCTGATCCTTATTGATTGAGAGTTAAAATTTTTAAATTTCGCTGCGTGTATATATATATTCTGATTTTCTCTTTCCCGCACAATTTACTCTAAAAAACCTATGCCCATTATTTTGGTCCTTTAGGTCAAGGTTCATGAAGACAATTTGCTTTTCCAAAATCCTTTGACAGATTTTTATTTCTTTGGCATAACTTGTGTCTAAAATCTAAACTATTCACCGAATCAGTGTGATAAAGGTGTTGTTATGTCTAAGCATCCAAAGTAATTTACCCATGAAGATATACTAATAGAATGTACATACGTTACTGCTTTTTTGAAAAATTACACTTGTTAATATTTGTTTCTGTATAACAGCATCAAAGTTGATTTAGCGGAACAGGGGCAATACGCCCCACTGATGCAGAAATCCCTCCCCGGTTGTGACTTCTAGGAGCAGTAGCACAAGAACTGCCAGCATGGCTGCTCTACCGTTCCAAGTTTCAGCACTTTTCGTCCAACCCCATTCCCAAACAGTCACAGGTGGTGGGAGCTCCCTACGTTGTGAATCATATGTTGCCAATAACTCTTCCACGCTGCCAAGGGGAACTAACGACTGCAGAAAATAAAACATCTCTAGTCAAATAAAATCATGCTTACGGTAATATTATAAATATATTTTCTAGAATCACTGCCACAACAAATGTTATTCATTATTCCCCTTCCCCTCTGGGTTATTGCCATCCTATGTAATAAAAGAAAAAAACTGCGAAAAAAAAGTTACTAATTTAACAATTAGATATTCCTACAAATAAATTTAGTTAAATACTTCTTAACTAATTAACCACACATCTACCATGCGTAAAGCTGCCAAAACTGATCTAAACCCAATAAACTCACTCAACTCTCCCGAACTCAAACAAATCTGATTGATCAGATTTGATAAAAAAAAATCCATAAGCCAAACCCATTTAACTCAAATCCAAGTTCACCCAAACGCAATCTGACACAAATCCGAATTAACCCAAACACAAAACAATCCAAACCCAAATTTAAAGGTGATGCATGCTATGTAAGATGCAAATGACTGGCTGTTGAATTTAGTCCATTCACACGTACAGATATATTTGGTTGTGTTGTTTTTGCATACCATTTTTTGTCTATAGCATTGACCCTAAGGCTTTGCTTCGTAGGAAGAATGGAAAGGGTGATAACGAAAAACTTCTTAATCTAATGATTAAGCTACAAAGTAAAAAAGTTATGATTTTAATTATTGAATTAAACAAGTTTTCCATCCTCATCCCTTTCCATTCTTTATACCAAGCAAAGCCTAAAATCTAACTAATTCTTAAATTTCTCAGCCTATAAAGGCAAATGACTAGCTGCTAGACTTGGTCAACTTGTTCTTCCATCCGCTCACAGTTTTTGGAAGCTTTGCTTCCTGCTTTTCCATTAACCCATCAACGAAAACCATCTCCACCATGCACAAACAACCAACTTAACAACACACCCCTTTCAAGCAAAAGGCAGACACACCACATACTTTCATGTACTGAGGCTTCAAATATTATATAAACCCAAGCCATATTTCTATGTTCTAGGTAAGGGCGTAAGGCACTTGTCTTCAATTAAAATAATTTGTGGAAACTAGTAACGTACCTGTCTAGCTTCAAGATTTGAAACTGCCATAGCTCCAACATATGGAAGACTCTCAATTACAGCATCTGCCAAGTCTGAAATGAACATCGGCTCGCATCCTAGTGCAGGAACACGACCCCAATTTTCTATACCAGATTCTAAAGCCAACTCTTTATACTCAACATCAATCTCTTCAAGAGTTTCAATATGCTCACTGACAAAGCTGTGAATCAAATATCAAAGTTTTCAAAAGAAATCAAAGTTTTAGTAGCCAAAAGAAGGAAGTAATTATTGAACAAAAAATGCAACACTAATAGCTACAAAAAGTTAAATAGAAGCTATTTAATGTCATTACAATATCACATTATCCTAGTTTTGTATGCCTGATTCTAAAGTCAGCATTAATCTCTTCAAGAGATTCAATATGCTCACACAAAGCAGTGAATCAAATATAAGAAATTTGAAAGAAACTGCAGTTTCAACGGCCAAAGAAAGAAGTTATGATTGAAGAAAAGTGCAACAAACAAAAAGCTAGAAAATTTTAACTAGCTTTTTGATGTCATCACTCATCACACTATCATCATTGTGACAATTATACTTACCTAATTGGTACAGCCAGAAGACTTTTAACTCCTTTTCGTCCTAGCTCAACTATTGTCTCATCAGTGTAGGGCTTCAACCATTCCACAGGCCCAACTCTGCTCTGCAGGAACATTAACCAACCATTAACAAAAGAAGGTGCCATCATAGAGAATTTGTGCAGAATATGTCAACAAGTAACATCAAGTAGGAAAAAATGATGGTCAATAGAAATAAAACATACATCCAGTTAGAGGTGGAAAAACCTTAGCCAATCCATCATAAACCCAACCCGACCTTATTCAAATCTATGGAACAATAAGATATTTAAAATTGCATCCGAAAAATGTCAGAAACCCAGCCTGACCTGCTTCACCATAAACCCAATCATACCCAACATCGATCCACCAAAAACAAAAAGTTAACTACCCACACTCGAAGTGACTCAAATTCAAAACAACCAAAAAAGAGACCCTAACTCAAGAAATAAATTATAAAATTTTCAGTACATAGCCAGGAAGTCTAAGGGTGGAGTAGATTTGAATCTAAAACCATAACCCTTTTAAAGAGGAGTAACAACCACTATACCAAGCCACAATTGCTAAAGTCAATTAACGTCTACTTGTCAGTAGAAATGTGACACAAGCAGCCCAAAGCTGACAAAGAAAGAATCCAAACACAACTTGAATTAACTTCAAAGTCATGACCCAAGCCCACTCTAACCCAAATGGCTTTCAAAGTAAAAATTTTGAAATCACCCAAACTCAAAATGACTTGACCTAACTTACTCAATGCCAACAACTACAACAATCAGTCTAAATGAAATAAAAATTTTAAATTACTTTCTGGAAGAACTTCCTCACAAAAACCAAGTCCATTAGATAGAAGAAGATGAAAAATGTTAAACATATAACCCAAAACCACTTGACAATAAATGGAAAGACACTGCTTAAATATAAAAACATATAAAATAAGTTAGCTTTTCTTCATAAGCAGGACCAATAAACACTTTCCCTCATAAGTAGGCTTAGCAAACAATTGAGACAAATAGAGGTAACACAAGCTATGAAAACAAGACAACAAACACAAGTAACAAATGAAGAACATACAAGTTGGGATCAAATACCATGTAAGCATCCAACTTAAAATCAATTTGCATTAAGAAAAGAGGCTCGACCTAAACATAAAGCTTCAGCAAATCTTAGACTCAACTGATTTGGGGTTACACCAGAATGTAGGAGCCATTTCCCAAATTCAAAGCTAAGGTAGCATGAAACTGGATGCATGTCAATTGCTAACAGAAGAGTTCAATGGTATTCCTAATCCATTGGAGAGGGAATAATTAACAAGAAAATGACATTTATTTGAAGTAGCTAAGTCTATGTTTCCTGCTTGCCTATGTGTTTGAGTATCTCATTCACCTATTGTCCACATCTTTGGACCGCAAATTTGGTTAAAGAAGATCTGAAAGTCAAATACAGATATATATGCATACGTTGTATTAGTATAAACACTATACCTAAGGCAACAAATAGTAAAACAACATTTTCAAGATCTTCAATTAATGTTGTATATAGATTTAGTATGTCAACCACACAACAATAATGCTTTTATAATTTTTACCTTCTGCATCAACTTTTTAATCATATTTGCTGAAAAACAATAATATAGCCTAGCCAACAAAACCTTCAGCACAACTAAAGCCAAAGCATTTAAGTAATTTTCAAATAATAATATTACCTTTTTTGCAAAACATCAAGAAAATAAATTTATAAATGTATCAGTGAAGCTACATATTTTCCTTCCCAAAGTGAGTGGATTAATTTTTTTAGATTTTGTAATAAATGTTGCTATTTGCATGAACAGTTTAATTTAATTATGGCCCAAGTGACCAAACCCTATAACAGAGCTAAAAACCCCTAACAATCAAACTATAAAGACCCTGAGTACACCAAAGAATTCATTTTTTCTTCTTTTTTGTGTGCTCCATCTCCATTGTTCTCTCCTCCTTTTCTCTCAGTTTTGTTCTGAAGTCTGATATGTGAACCTGTATATTTTTTTTTCCTAAAAGCTTTAGACTCTCTTCTTCTCTTCTATTCCCATTGACATATTCTCTAGAAACTGAAACAAATCAAAACCAGGGGAGATTGTTGGTGGATATGGGGAAATATTTGTTTCAGCCACAACAAAATCTCTGGCATGACTACTTCCACATGCCATCTCCAGTGATAGTATTCTTACAAATTGAATTGGTGAGTACTGGTGTCCCTGAAATTTGTGGGAAGTCAGCAACATATATGTATACTTGCATTCACGTTGTGTCATGTCAACATGAGTGGTTCAGCTGAAAGTGCCAATTTCAGGCAACAAAGGGCTCTAGAAGAGTTGCATAAAACTAATAGCATAAATATGACTAGACTTGTTACATAGCCAAACATCCGTGTTTGAATTCTGGAATAAGCAGCCCTGCTTGTTACATTAATAATCTATGTCTAAATTTTGAAGCAAATAATTTTACTGTGTCCAGGGGTTTCCTTTTATTTTTGACACTAAAAATTTCGCATTGTAGTATTTCTCAAGCATCTAGGAGATTATGGATGATATATTTCATCTACGATTTAAGTAATGTGATGAATTGTGATAATCAATTTCAGACATGGCTAATACATGTCAATTTCAAAAAACTCAGCTTGATCTTGCATTTCTTCCCATAAGACTCAATTTTCAATTGTTAAGTCCAATTTAGTATCTCTGAAGGCTTTTCAGACATATAAGGAATTGAATCCCCATAAAACATATTTCATCATTAATCATTACGTCTACATCTCCAGCATCTTTCACCTTGACAGATCTTCTGATTGCTGCAAACAAATGCTAGTCAACCCTTTAATCCTTTCATTGTGAGCTTTTACTTATGAAATCTGCTCTTCCATCATCTTCATAATTGCTGACCACTATTTAACTACCTTTTTGTTAAAGTGTTTTTGAAAGAAAGCTAGAGACATCTTATCAAGGATAAAAAGCAGCCATGTTTGTAAACCTACCTTAGTAGCAAAAATATTGATGACTGATAGCCGACTACATGGAAACAACGTTAATATTAGTACAATAGAGGCTTAAAAATACATAGCATAGTCCACATCAAACTAAAATAATAGTGCAATAGTGGAAAAAATATTAGCCATAGCATTATCCCACCAGCACATGCATCTTCTGAAGAGAAAAGTAGAATCTCCTTAAGCATTTACATAGCAACTTTCCTCCATTTAGTTCAAGGTTTTACTTTCCATCCACGTATAATTTCAAAATCGAAACTTAACCACATATCAGAAGTTGTAACTTGAAAATTAAGAAGTGAAATAGATAAGTCAGGGGCAATATTCCAAACAGAAGTACCTGATAAGCAAGAGTGTATGCATTATCAATCTTTCTCTTCTCTAATTCCTCTATTATCAAATCCACACATTCTTCCATCTCTGCCTTGTAAGGATCCCCCGCCTCTTCTACATATGCAAGTGGCACCCCATGTGCACTAAAAAATATTATCACCTGTAATATGTAGTCTCATTTAAGTATGCTGATGAACATTGTAAGGCGAGAACTGTTCAAATTTAAAGATACAAGCTCCTAAAATAACAAGAAAATCAAGGAAGCACAATTTTAAACAAAGATTTGCAAATTGCCAAAAAGATAATAGCCAAGGCCCTCTTCACCTAGGAACTTTCCAAGCAATCACAAAGAGATCAAGAGACATAACAGAGAATGATATGAAGGGAATCATATCATATTGATTTCTTATGCAGTGAAAAAGGATTTTAAGTGTCAATAAATAGACGAAAGAAAGAAAAGGAAAAGACTACTAGACACCTCAATACATACATTCAGACTAACTCACAAACTAAAGTTCAGAGGAACATTAGTAATTCAAAAATTAGGAGCCAAAAGGCAGGAAACCAAATGCAACCTTAGTTGTCAAAGCTGCTAGCTGCCAATGCAAATTCAGATGATTAATAGACATGTTCAACCTTTCAATGAGTTCATCATTTCAACTTGTCAATCAAGACCAAAATCAAACTTCAGTAGTTAGTAACTGGAACTTTTTCGAGCATCAAAAGGCTGCTTCCAATCTTAATGCACAAACTTTGTGAAAATGTGTTGGTAACTGTGGAAATCTAATCTTCATTATTACTTGATTAATTGACTTTATTTATTTTGGTTAAGTCTCTTATTTTTAGAATAAGAAGTGATTGGGGTAATTACACCAAATCCATTGGATGTTTTCTTATTATTTGTAAAGAGTAAATTACTCCTTTTATTAGCTGTTTTAATGCATGAAAATCTTGGGTTTTAAGGCTGAGAATATTCAGTCTTTAGCCTATATATTTTCATGCAATTTTAGCATTGTAATAAGAAAAATATAAAAAAATAAAATAGTTTTATTCTAGAGATTTCTTCATGGTATTAGAGCTCAATCTGAACCTTTGAAAATTTTAATTCAGAGTTTAACATGGCCAGCGAAAAGGAGAACCCGGCATCAAAGGTTACCTTTAACCTCGAAGCTAGCGTTTCTCAATCACTGTAGAACCTTACCACTCCTTTTCAAACAGGTTCTTTAGCACAAAAAGGTAATTTTCTAAATGCCTTGAGTGTAAAACTAGAGAAACCAAAATTCAATGATATACTCATACCACATATCCTAATCAGCCTTACAAACCATCCCATCCTTTTTCAATGATATACGATGATATTTTGGGTCCCTCCAAAGTAAATAACATTACTAGCTCCAGATGGTTTGTCACATTTATTGATGATCACACCAAGGTTACTTGGGTATTCCTTATGAAGGAAAAATCGGAAGTGGGTCAGCTATTCCAAAACTTCAACAATATGATCCAAACTCAATTCAAAACCAAAATCCAAGTGTTGAGAACTAACAATGGGAAAGAATATTACAATTTAATTCTTGGATCATATCTAATGGAGCATGGTATAATTCATCAAAGCACATGTGTCAACACTCCTCATCATAATGGTGTTGCTAAAAGAAAGAATAGACATTTGTTGGAAGTTGCAAGATCCCTCATGATGGCCGCCCATGTACCTAAGAATTTTTTGGGTGAGGTTCTTCTTATTGCTTCATATCTTATAAACAAAATGCCTTATCAAGTCCTGAAATTTTAAAGCCCTTTCCAATCCCTTCTCAGTTCCTATCCTCACCTTCGAATCATTTTGTCTATTCCCATTAAAGTGTTTGAATGCAATGCATTTGTTCTTACCAGTCAACAAAACCAAAGCAAGTTAGATCCCAAATCCATCAAATGCATATTTCTCAAATACTCCTCGAATAAAAAAGGATACAAGTGTTACTCACCAATAACAAAGAAATTTTACCATTCCATGAATGTTACCTTTTTTGAAAATGAACCTTACTTTCCCAAAACAGCCAGAAGAATCGAATCACATGAGAATATCAGCTTTGGGAAGATCTTATTACCGAACCACCAAACACTTCTCAAACTCCCTTTCACATCCAAAACATCCAACTCCTTTTCACATCCAAAACATCCAACCAGATCCTCCAACTCCCTTTCAAACCCAAAACATCCAACCAGATCCTCCAAGCTCGAAGTCCACACAAAGGAAAACAAACAAAGAATTGATTATCTATTCAAGAAGATAAAAAACTCAGAAGTACATAAGAGAATGTACACCTTCAAAGCAAAACCAAGAATCTAAACCGATTCCAGAGATACTTGAAACTAACACAAGTAACACTCTTACTAAATCTAATTCAATTGAATCTTTTGACGATCTTGATCAACCAATTGCTCTAAGAAAAGATGTTAGATCATGTACTCAACACCCAAGGCCCTAGAAAAGAACAAAACATGGGAGATTTCAGAACTACCCAAAAGGAAAAATCCAGTTGGGTGCAAATGGAGTTTTACTGTCAAGCACAATGCAGATGGAAATATTAATAGATTCAAAGCTCGCCTTTTTGCAAAAGGATTTACTCAATCTTATGGGGTTATCGTGAGGAGACATTTGCTTCAATTGCTAAACTTAATTCAATTCAGGTGTTATTATCATTGGCAGCAAATCTAGATTGGCCACTCCACCAACTAGATGTCAAAAATGCATTTCTTAATGGCAACCTAGAAGAAAAAGTTTACATGGAAATCCCTCTAGGATTCAAAAACCAGGACAATTCTGGCAAGGTATGTAAGCTTTAAAGTCTTTATATAGTCTCAAACAATCCTCATGCGCATGGTTTGATACACTAACAAAAGTGAAAAAGAAGTATGGTTTTTCACAATGCCATACCAATCACACCATATTTGCCAAACATTCACCTAAAGGAAATATAGCATTCTTATTATCTATGTGGATGATATTATTCTTACTAGAGGTGATGTGGAAGAAATTAGCAACCTGAAGAATCTCCTAGCCAAAGAATTTGAAATCAAAGATTTGGTACACCTTAAATATTTTCTTGGCATGCAGGTAACTCGCTCAAGGAATGGCATATCTATTTCATAGCATAAGTATGTCCTAGGCTTACTGAATGACATTGGAATGCTTGGATGCAAACCTGCTGACACCCCTATGGACACAATGAATAAGGTAGGAATGGAAGAAGGAAGTCCACCAATAGATAAGGGCAGATATCAAAGACTTGTTGCGAAACTCATCTACCTCTCTCATACAAGACTAGATATCGGTTTTTCAATTAGCATGGTAAGCAAATTCATGAACAACCCAACCGAGGAACACTTGAGGGCTGATATCGAATCTTACAATACCTAAAGAAAAGTCCTAGCAAAGGGTTATTTTTTAAGAAGACATACGTTGAAATGTTGAAACTTACACTGATGCTGATTAGGTTGGATCCATTATTGATTGAAGATCAACTACTGGTTAACGTACCTATGTATAGGGAAATTTGGTTACTTGGTGAAGCAAGAAGCAATATGTGGTGGCTAGAAGTAGCGCGAAAGTTGAGTTTAGAGCTATGTCTCATGGCATATGTGAGGGAATTTGGCTGAAAAGATTGCTAGGGGAGTTAAAGGTCTTTGCAGAAGAATGCATGAAGATATTATGTGACAACAAAGCTGCCATAAGTACAGCAAAGAATCCCATTCATCATGATAGGACTAAACATGTGGAGATTGATCGTCATTTCATCAAAAAGAAGATAGAAGAAGGAATTGTTAGATTAGTTTACACTCCCACATGCCTCCAAATTGCAAACATACTTACTAAGGCTCTCTCTCAAAACAAGTTCGAGAATCTTAAATCCAAGCTAGACATGATTGACATCTACCACCCAGCTTGAGAAGGAGTGTGAAACTCTTATCTTCATTATTACTTGATTAGTTGACTTTATCTATTTTAGTTAAGTCTCTTATTTTTAGAATAAGAAGTGATTTGGGTAATTACACCAAATCCATTTGATATTTTCTTATTAAATGTAGAAAGTAAATTACTACTTTGATTAGCTATTTTAATGCATTAAAATCTTAGGTTTTAAGGCTAAGAATTTTTAGTCTTTAACCTATATATTTTCATGCAATTCTAGCATTGTAATAAGAAAAATATAAAAAAATAAAATAGTTTTATTCTAGAAATTTCTTTAGTAACTAATAAACCGCAACTCAGATAGAAAGAGAGTGAGAAGTTCTGGAGATATTAAATGGGACATTATAACATCCTAATAGAACAATCATCAGAGTTTCCAACTCTTTAGGCATTCAAGACGATGATACCTTCTACTTAAAAGGAAATGACCCAGCCATTAAAATTCGAGCTACCTAGCAGTGCCAAAGACAAAACTTACCACACTAAAAGTTAGAGCCATATTTCCAAAAATTTTCATTCAACATGTAACACCAGACTGTCAATGAAAACCCTTTGAGATCCCACAACTAGAAAATACCGTCTTGGATATAAGATTTTCATAAATAGATCCCACTACATCCCAAGAATAAAACCCTTCTATACACGAAAACTATATTTTTAATGTCCTAATGCATTCTTTGCATGTGGATAAGCTTGAACTCTCCAAAAATTACCTCAAGTTCCTTGTTATCATGGTCGTTGCTTTCTTGCAAACAAGCTAGTCACTTGACAATTCAAACTGGCCTACTTAAATTTTGGAGATTTCAATTTTCACCATCAATAGTCAAGAGGCAAAGTTTTCACAAAGAATCCATCTCCATTCAGCTACATTCAAGATTTTAGTAAAATATTTCCAAAGAATTATTTTATGATAGATTATTTAAGCTAATTTCTACTAGTATGTAACAAAAGATATTAAAGTGTTTCAATAAAATGTAGAAAACTTAAAGAACAATTGTCCTTATTTCTTCTTTTTCAATCTACAACGAAGGAGTACATCTAAATAAATAGGAACAGTGAAGTTCCTTATTAGGAAACAACTTACATGAAACAGAAAATAACATATAATAAAAGAAAGGAAAATTATTCTATTCTAGAATAGAAACAAATCCCTAAAAACTTGGCTATCAAAATAGCTGACTAAATCAGAA